CAGTTTAAACATGAAGGAATAAGACCGGGAGGCATGTGGATGGCAGCCACGTTTCATCAATGGAGCCGGCTCACACTCCTTCACAGGAAAACACAGAGACACTGTATTTGGGAATCAAGCGCACACACAAGGCGGTGGCTGGACCGTAGTCCGCTGCACACTGTGCATGGAACCGCTCTTCGAGCCAAGCACGGCCACAAGGACCGCGCACCCTGTCCCCTCTAGCAATGACCAGCTGTCTCCTGGAGTCAGTATGGACGAAGTAGTGGGTAATAGCCAGGTAGGCATCTTGTCAACATGCAGTTCAAGCGCAGCCGCACCGGGGATGTCAAGTAATAGCCAGCCACTGGAAACGACGACATCAACTAAAATAATTCGAATAATACATACAGATATGCCGACACAGCTGTTTAAAAAATGAACATATAAAACAAATTGGTTGTCAACATATCCGCTATAGTTTCAAGACATCAGAAACGATATGTTAAGCAAATGTCACAATCGCGAAAAGCTTCTCAAACTAACTACATTTAACTTAAGCAACTTGTGAAAGTTAATAGAAGATAGTGCATGTAGACAACAATGAGACATAACAAGCTCACCACCTGAAATAAAGAGACCTTGCGTACAAGCAAGCGCATGGTAAATCGAATGCCGCGTACCTATAACCGCTGCGCCGGATCTGCCTACGTTCCCTGTAGGACCCGTCCTCACTTCCGTGGTGGCGCCGAGTGGCCTGGCTCAGAGCTCACTAGGCCTGACTGGCTCAGGCACTCGCAAGCCGTATGTGCAACAACACCATGCGCTTGATGTCGATGGAGTACAACCCGTCGGTGCTTGCCTCTTCCGCACTTGTCGTTTCTTAGCTGCATGCATGAGAGCTTTCTCCTGCACCATGGCAACTGCCTTCCTGATCAGATCGCCACGCACGCTGATCAACTGCTTTCGATTCCCATGACCTGCAATCAAGATTAGAACGTGAGAGGCTCATGCTGACCATGCCCTGGTAACGAAGCTTCGGTTTTACCACATTCCGCTTCCTCAAATTCAGCTGATCATATAATAATTGTTTCGGTATCCGCGTCGAATCCTTACGGTTCATATTACCGAGCCATATCAGGTGTCTCATCCGAAGTATGCAGTCCACTACATAAATCACACTTTGTCGCAACACTTCCGTGTCAGCAACTCTGTTGCATCAACCGATGCGCAGAATCCGTCAAAAACACTGTTGATAAAACCGCTCGAGATATCGCACCTCGCGCAGGCACATGGTCCAAGTTTCACTGCCATATGGAAGCACAGGCAGCACCATAGTTTCGTAGACCATCACACACTATCAGCTTAACGTTGGCATGTAACTGATGGAGTACTATCTATGGTGCTGACCGTTCTTCTATATGGCAGTGGAACATGGACGATGTACCGACGGAATGTGCGACCCCTCGAGCGGTTCCAACAACAGTGGTTCCGACGGATTCTGAGCATCGGTTAGTGCAACAGAGTTGCGGACACAGAAGCGTTGCACCGAAGTGGAATGTATGCAGTATGGTGTATACGTTTGCCGAGACACTTGAGTCGACGCAGGTAGTCCAGTACGAGCGACAATCCAGGATGGAACCACGCCATCTATAACGTATGGCTATGTGGTCAATTTGCGTCCATCGCTGGCCAGCTACAGGAGGACGCCAAGTGGCACTTCGGCGCCCACTTGTCTAAAAGCAGTGCAGCTAAGAAATAACTAGCGTTCCGTACACAGCTGCGGCAGCCGCTCGTCGTTGTCAGTCGGTTCGGAGTTAACTCCATAGTTACCACCCAGCTGAGCTTGTGAAGAGCTCAAACGCCCAATTGTGCGTCCATATCCCCTACATGTACTATAATATCTGAACTAGTAGCACTGCGTAGTAGCGCGTTTAGTTCGTGATAGAATGGGTCCTTGACAGCATTAGAACTGCAGTCGGTGGGAGCATAAGCGGAAATCACAAACAAACAGCGTGTTGTACTACTTCGTGAATCAATCTTAGCTGACGTCGTCAAACGGGCTGCACATAAACGGCTGTGCATCGGAATCTAATCAACCAACGATGGATCAAGCTTGAAGCTTAGAATGATACCTACACCAGCTTGACCCGTGAGTGCTGCATTGGCGTCTCCGGATGCGTGCAACAAATAACTAGAGGATAAGCTGAGTGCAGTTAATTCAACAACGCCATTAGGGTCATTGCTTTTAGTTTCGGACATACAACACACCTCAATACCCAGTGTGTCCAAGGTGTATGCAAGTACATTCTGTTGATCTACTTTTCTTATAGTGCGAACGCTGAACGCTGCCATGGAAAGGGATAGCGTGGCCTTATAAGAGACTATTGCCGATAGGCGCCCAATGTGTGTTGTGGGATGGCGGCTGCAGATGGCTCCATTCCAGTGGAACTTCGGTTGCTGTCATTTAAGTTGGGAATTATAGAAGGATGGTTAGTAATGGGGGTCGGGATGGGAGTAAGAGGAAAAGGTGAAAAAGGAAGAAGGGAGGCGCCAGCAGTAGCATGTTTTCGCTTATCCGCCCTGCTGTATGCTGCAGATAAGGCGACCCTTGATAAGCTGCGCGACGGTAGATGCAGGATTAAGTTTAGGCTTGAAGAAAATTTTATGGTTGTCTCGTAATCTTGCGGCGCGTGTTCGAATCTGCGTAGGGGTGGGCGTCCTTGCGGTATACTCAGCCGGTGTGCGACTGGTGTTGGTCGTACGACAATGAAGCGCCGTTACGGCGTACAGCTGACACATTATTATTAGTAATATCAATATTATTATTATTACGATGCAGGATATCTCACCATGTGCCACATTCCACTGTTCCCCAAACACTTCGGCTTTCGCATGCAACCAAGTTGCAGAAGGTTTTCTTACAATCTAAGTGGCAATACTGTCACGCTCAATACCATCCGGGAACTGAGCAATAGAACTGAGAAATACCAAGCATTTTTACATCTAGCTGAGTCCACAAAGATCTATCGGTTTGATAATCAACTAAGCAAAGACTACAAGTATATCCTTAACAAAACCATCGGGGGTGATCCCAGCACCCAGTTGCATAATTGAAGTGCCCTACCGGCAGACTATACTGCGTCTCGCATATTTTGAATATGAAAATATGAGAGCAGTCAAAATTTATTTTTCAAACGCTTTAATGATGCATATGATATCTTTAGATACACTCGGGATTTGCAAGTTTGTCTAGCTTCTCCAGTCTTCGTCCACCAAGGTAGATATACGCATCTCAGCGGTTCTGTACACTTGCATCTTATACTCGCCTCATCGCATCAATTCCTTAATAAGCATGCTATATTCCACTCGTTGTCTTGAATCTACGAATCTCTTTAGTAGTTGTTCAGCTTCCTTCACAGGAATCGGTTCTGATCCTCTTTGAGTAAGAATGTCCATGAGTACCTCTTTACGCAGCGTACCGGTGAGTGCTACGTCAAACATTAAAAAGGCATTCCAAACCTCAGTCTCTATTTTTAGTTGAGAACCATACCACACTTCTGCTGCGGCGGCCAAAAACATTTCCAAAGAGACCTGCCCGCTATTGTTCGGATCCACAACTTTTAACAATGCTTCGATTTGTGCTTCTGAAGGGATCAATTTTAGCCATCGTAGGGCAGTTCCAAATTGGCTTCTTGCAATAAATCCGGTATTCCTTCGATCAAAATATCGAAAGCCTCCGACGATGCTCGAGATTTCGTGTTCAGTTAAGTCACCTATTTTCATCTCTTGTTCCAGTTGAGTATTTACGAGCTAGTCGCTAACTTCTGGAATTCACACCGAATGACAATTTCTAGCTGGATGCTGAAGGAAGGAAATTTTAAATTGGACTAATCAATGCTACGGGTTGCAAAGGCGCATATGAAAGTCTGTGTAAGCGAACATATGTTTTCGGTAATTCTTCATCAGGCTTGTACAATTACATGAAATGTAAACGTTTAGTATACAGACCCAACGGGTCGTCAGTCAACCAAATTGATCTTAGTGCGCTGTGACACACCTTCGGTTAGGTTACAGTTGTATTCGTACGTGTGTACAGGTCAACTGCAGTTCGTCCTGGCCAAGGTAGGCTCAACGCGTGAGTGAACCGTTTCTGCGTGCACAGTGCTGGTTCGTACAGCCGAATGGCGATGGCTTCTGCGGCGTCTAATATCCGCTTACGGAAATACCTTGATCGATTTTCTGGGGCCTGATAGATTACTTTGAACGAGTCAGCCAACTTGGTGGCGTGACCCGTATCCGCAAGATGCATGGCGATGGCAGAGTTGGTGACCTTTCGGCCTCCATTTCCGAGCCAGGCCGGATGGTGTTCCTTCACCCTTTCGGATAAGCGTCTTGTCGTACGACCAACGTATCCTGCCCCACAGGAACAGGTAAATGAGTATACACACATTGATTTGGTGTGGACAGGCAGCTTATCCTTGAGGTTTAGTCTCACCATTGGGCTGCTGGTGAACCGGATTTGCAACCTCGCCACTGGGAAGGTATTCCTGAGTGTGGACGTGAGACGGCGGGATAGATTCTCGGACACTATTTCCCCTTTGTAAGGCAGTTGTAGGAAGATAGGTTTCCGTTCCGCCGTCAGGACCATAGGTGCTTCCCTGTTTCGCCCCATATTCGCATTAATAAAATTCTCTGGGTAGCCATTCTCTTTTAGTGGCGTAAACAAACTCTGTCGGTGATTTTGACTCAGTGCCTTCTGAACAGCATGAGGTACCGGCTTTAGATGACTGTTACTTGGTTTGCATCTGTATTTTAGTGAACCAGCTAAGACTAGCCCTGTGTGTACAGAAACAATTAGTGGTTGAACTCCGGTTGCCCTGGCCATAGAACTATCGCCGCCGTGCACCTCACTGCATTTGATTGGTTGGCAACACACTTCGAACGGTATAAAATAATTACTTGGTATGGTTTTGGTACTAACAAGACAATACGAAATGCGAGGATTTACCAGCGTTCGCCTCATTGTGGTATACAAATTATTGAGGGAAACTAACAATTTTAAAGGATTTGTTACAGTTGAACAATACGTTGTATCTACTAGAACCGCTATATATCTATTTAGATATCCAATACGGTCAAAAGTGTCCTAATTAGTATAATGCCACAACGTATAGGAAATACAATAAACAAAGGAAAAGAGGTGGGACATAACTATAAGCCAGTGTTCACGGAAATAACAAGTCACAACAGGTCCGCCTATGCGCATAATTACTCGCCATATCCGAAAGTGTTTCCAGCTATGCGTGTTCCAGATAATTCATACTGTGGACCGAAAATTTCTGTTTCTAGATTATAAGAGTGTGTTCGATTCAGTCGATCGATGCTCTTCGTTCGAAATACTTGCGTAAAAACATGTTCCCACGAATTATGTGAGAATCCTACATGCACTATACTCGAAAAATACAGGTCGCGTCAAGGTTTACCGTGATCTGTCGGATAGATTTCCGACCACAGGTGGTGTTCGTCAGGGTTGTCCAATTTCCCCATCATCATCATCATCATACACGTTAGCTAGAGGTGGGGAACACCTCAGCTACTGTGCCGCAATACATAGAAAAAAGGAGAAAAAAATGCAACTGGTGCAAGCTGGCTGAACTAACGTTAACGAATGGGCATCGTTCCGGTAAGCTACCAGCCGGCTATTGTGCACCCAAAAAAAATTATTATGCAAAATTATATAAGGCTAAATAATGAGATCGTGGTTGGAGGGGGAGGCTAAGAGGGATGGGGTGGGACAAAGAAACTCACAGCACGAACGCCACTGAGGTTGGCTCCTAGCCATATCAGCAAGTGTGTCCAACCAAACGTGTTCATCGTCTTTCGGACCCCAACCAGGGAGCTGAGGCGCTCCAACCGAGACCAGCTCAGAAGTAAGGGCCTTCATTCCTCTCGACCAAGTCATCGCTTGGCCACTCCTCCTCTTCTTCCATCCACACCCCCGGCGCGCAAACAACACACGTCGCGGGAGTCCGTGGGTTAGCATGCGTAACACGTGGCCGAGCCATCGGAGCCTGATGCGTGAAATAACGGTGCTGAGCGGTTCATTTCCTTTTCCTGTGCCATAAACAAGGCGTCGAACACGCTCGTTGCTCACACGGTGTTCCCACCAAATGTGAGCTAAATTACGAAGGCACTGGTGATCGAACGTAACTACCCTCTTCAGGTCCGCTGCTTTAAGCGGCCAGGTTTCACAACCGTACAGTAGGGTCGAACGTACCGCTGCATTGTACACTCTACCCTTCAGGGCAAGAGTGATGTCGCGCCGGCGCCATAAGTGGCGAAGGTTAGCAAACTGCCCCGAACTTGTGCTATACGATTCGTGATTTCATCTTCAATCCCACGGGCGCTGATACAACTTCGCAGGTAGTTGAATTTTTGAACGACTTCTAGCTGATGCCCACCAAGGGTCAGCGTAGGAGGCGGTCCAGACCAATCTTGAAGAAACGCTTTGCACTTCGAGGGTGCGAAGCAAAGCCCGAAGTGACGGACAGCTATTGCTAATCTGTCCAGTGCCGCTTGGCATGTTTGTGAGCTGTCACAGATCAGGGCAATATCAGCAGCATACTCTAAGTCAAGAAGTCGTTCTCCTGGGAGGAGCTCCACAACATCTAAGTGGTGTCCTGTGAACGCGATTTCCAGGACTTCGTCAACAGCGAAGTTGAAGAGGAAAGGTGACAGCGGGCATTCTTGTCTCACGCCGCTGGAGATATTAAAAGGGCGACGACAACTTGCCGTAAGCCCTCACTCTGCCCGAGCTACGCGCATATAATGCTCGGATAATATTCACATATTTTTAGGTACACCTTTCCTGAGTAGACAGTCCCAAAGTGTATGTCTATCCACCGAATCGAATGCACCTTTGATATCGAGGAACACGACAACGGTGGGCCGCCAATATATGTGACGGGGCTCCAACAACTGACGCAAGGTGAAGATGTGGTCAATGCAGCCACGACCTCGACGAAATCCGGCTTGCTCTTTGCGAATCTGGCTTTCACGAGTGGCAGTCAGTCTGTGAAGGATGACAGAGGCAAGCAATTTGGAGGCGATGGAGATCAGACTGATTCCTCCCTACTTCTGTTCGGTTTCGTCGAGGACTCTAGCATGGAGTGTTCCCTTACGGAACCTTACAATGTAAGCTTTGAGGTCCTGTCTGGTGCAAGTTTCGTTGGTCTTGATTATGCAGACCATATCGCTTTGGTTTTTGACGACGTTAAGGCGACAAAATCAACCCTGCATGGTCTGTCTAGTGGTCCCATTATTTGGTATGCGCTTGGCACCTTCACTGTTCAAAGTGTTGCTTCAGGACCATCAGCCAGTTGATGATCGCTTAACACTTGATAACAAGGAACTGGAGCTGGTTGATCAATTCATTTATCTTGGCAGCTGTATAAGCAACGATGGACGCATAGAAACTGACGTCAGCTCACCCATTGCAAAAGCCAGCACTGCCTTCTTGCACCTGCTGCATCTTTAGCGACAGAAGGTGTTATCCTCTGTCTGAAAGGTTGTGTATACCAGGCCACAGTGAGGGCTGTTGTGTTCTATGGTAGTGAGACTTAGCCCCTTCGGTCTGAAGATCTGAGGCGCCTTCAAGTCTTTGCACATCGTTGTCTGCGAAGTGTTGCTGGTGTCGGATGGCAGCTCTGTCAAATGAGACAAAGGTAACTTACACGTCTAAGGGGAACACGATCGTTGACAGGCCAAATGTTTGACGACGCTCGAGTACTTCGCTGTGTAAAGATGTGATTGATACAACTCCGACCTGAACGGAACCCAGCTGGTTCTTCACGGATGCTTTGTTCGCGTACCAGGTTGAGTCTCCTTACAAGCAGAGATGTGAGCACCTTGGAAGAAACACAGATAATACTAGCCCCTCTCTGGCTGGCGCCCTCAGTTCTGGTACCAATTATGAAGAAGGAACTGACATTCGATAGGCTCCAAACAGAGGGGATAAATTCAGAGAGCAGGATCTGTTGAAGGAGGGAAGTTCTGAACAATTAATGACCTCCATCTTTGAAAAGAGTCGGAGGAAGTCCAACTGGGCCAAGGGATTTGGAACTTGTTAAGAGACCTAGTTCATGGATAACCTCGGCCTCAGATGGTGGTGAAGCGTCTACATACCGGCAAACGCTCTCGATACCAGAATGGGAGCTCATCGGTGCTGCTGGCCAATTAAACTGCCGCTTAAAATACTGGGCCCAATGCTCGAGTCGCCGTTTTTAACAGTGGATTGCTTCGGCATTGGTTTCGCTGAAAACTTTCTCTACAATCGCAAAAAGTGTGGGCTAGCACCTCTATGGTCTAACACAGAAGGATGACCACAGTCCAGTGTTACCCACCGATGACATACGACCTGAGAAAGATTGCGAGTTCGTTTACATCCTCGACCGTAGTGTGTGAAGTGTGTGTTAGGGGGTGCTTTATGAACAGATAATTTTGCTACAGCTCTTAGTCGCTCGCTTTGTTTTCACGATCGTTCGCTTCTTGACATTTGTTTAAATGCATCATTCCTCTGCTTCGATTGGCTGGCCTAAGTCGTTCACAGTTGACACTATCTCTGAAGTCTATTTTCACCAATGCCGTTTACTCGGACCCATATGTTTGGTGTTTTCTCCTGTCACTTCTCATTCGCTCGTATTACGCGTTGTTTCCTATAATTTTGGTCAGCTCCAACGTGCTTCAGTAGCTTTGCTTCATAAACTATTGTACCCTACATAAGGAAGCAGTGTTCTCCTGCAAAGAACTCGATCCTGTCTCGCTTTCGTGATTTTCTTATGGTCGTTAGGGCGTGAACAGACGGGGATGACACAACAGATTCTAGCGACGGGAAAGCTGGCAATCCATGACCATTTCTTTTGAACAAATGCACGCGCTAACCCAGCAGCGGCAAATGCAATTCGAAAAGTCACATTGGTATCTAATCGAGTTGTTATCCCAAAAGCTGAACATTTAGACAGAACATCCAGGACTGGCATCACAACCTTCCGCGGACTCCATTGGGGCATCGATTTTGCAGTTAGTTTTCGACGGATTGCCTGGGTTCACCTAATAATCGTGGCTCCAAAAGTACGAACAAATTTTCTTTGTGGAGTTGACCAGACATGACGATGCCTGGAAAGTCTGTTTATTGTTGACGGAACTCGGAGCGGTTGAACATGAACGGTATACAAATTTGTGTTACCCAAGAATCCAAGAGACTTCAGTTTCGTGGAGACGGTGAAAAGTTTAACACAGACATTCGGTGAACAAGCGTCCTTCTTCAGTATTCGGTACAACCGATTGAATTTAGCCAAACGCGATGCACCTAAGTTGGTCACACAAGCTGACATCGTGAACCGAGTGTGCACGTTTTAAACTAGGCACCGTGACAGCTGGTCAATACCAGAGCCTTGCATTTGTATGCAGTCTTCAATCCCATGCTGATGCGGATGTTCGAACGCGTAACCTTCACAAAATGGAACAAGAACCGCAGATGACTTTGCAGGAGATTGCAGCTGGGTGGCACAGACTGCGGAACTTGAAACATGACACAAAAATGGTGGAAATTCCGGATTCTGGAAACGAGCCCCACATCTGTCGCACAGCAGTTCGCAGTAAAAATATGAATCGGAATGTGCCGAATCAGAAGCCATCTACTGTGGATTGGAAGTATGATGACTGACACTTTGCGAACGATTATGAGTACAAGAAGCATCAACGTCACAAACGTAAACGCATTGGTCATAAAGAAACCCGCTGTCGAAGACCGAACAAGTTTAGACACAAATGTACTACAAGGGTTTGAGAAAGCTTCAAGTTCAGAAAGATGAGATTCCAAGGTGAAAAGATGAAAGTGATTCTTGCCGCACTTCGCACCGAATTCACAAGTAACAGCAAATACCTCTCTGTTCAAATCAACGATGTTCCTGCATCGATGCATTTAAATAGTATGGCGGCATCCGTATCCGGATTTGCCTGTCACTGCGGCCTCCATTGGGACAGCCACAAGACGTCTGCGCCTACAAAGGGGACCATGGATGGCTTGCGCTGCACCACCAACAGTTCCACCCACACACCTCATATCCGGTGTAAACCCGAAGGAATAAGACCGGGAGGCATGTGGATGGGAGATGCATTTAAATACAGTGCCTGATATCCCCATCCTTTCCCGATCGACATGGACTAAGCTGGGCGAACGTCCAGTCGTACATGCAACTCTGACGGTTCAAAGTGCATCAACAGAACCTTTATCGCTAGACGAAAAAATTGTCTATGAGCTCAAGTATAAAAAATCGCAACTCCATAGCATCATCTACCTAGCTTCTTGTACCAATAGTAATCTACTCGGAATGGATTGGATTCTAAAGCTTAATCTACTCGACCAGCCACGGAATCGTGTGTGCACCCAAACAAATCTCAAGGTCAGCCATACTGTCATACCGACTCATCCCAGTGGATGTCTCTCCGAACAGCTTTACGCGAAGTACGCTTAGGCCTTCCTATCCAACCTTGGAAGCTGCATAAAAATGTAGACAAAACGCATTCCCTCTCCCGACGCAAAAACAGTATTTCTACCCTGAGGTCCAGTTTCGTAAGCTTCACAAATACTCATGCAACAGGAGCGTGAGCGGCTATACCGTGCTGGTGTGATCAAGCGAATCAGTTTCTCGCCACTGGCTGCTCCTATTGTCGTGATCAAGAAACCCAAGGGTACTATCCACTTGTGTGTCGATTTCTCAAGTGGGTTAAATGCCGCCTTGGAGCCTCACCAATACCCACTTCTAATACGCAGTAACGAATTCAGGCAAAGCACGCCCCCAGACCGCAGTTATGCAAGAACAAGACACAGTACGAAACCTAGTGTATCGGGCGGGCCGGTGCGACATGGCTCACATGACATACGCGTCATAGCATTAGTGTGGAACTACTGATTGGTCAATGCGAGGGTAAGCAATAAAAACGCGATGTGGCTGAACTAACTAAGCAATATCGTGACGTATGTAACATCCCCTCCTCTCTTGGAGAAACTCATATACAGGGAACTAAACATTTAACAGGTTTAGGTACACGTTGAGATCTGCTAAGTGGTGAGCATTTTGTTGTTTGCGCAGTATCCCGAGTGGTTTGTTCCACCGTCGGTTGGACTGAGTCAGATATATTTTCCTCATTTTTTCATGTTTCTACACAACTCGGATGTATGTGATCAGAATGACGCCTCAAAACACGACCATTCACCTCTAGGTCAGCCTGGGTACCGTCACTTGTGACCAAGGCTGCGGGCTGCCATGACTGTTCTTGTGGAAGTTGTGTATACACAGGATTTCCCGGTTGGAAAACTACATCGTGATCCCTGTCTAACGTAGCTGTCTTGTTTTGCTTTGCTTCTATTTGCGCTCAGATTAGGAAATAATAGATGTAATCTACTACGAAGTGTTCCACGGAACATCAGTTCTGCGGGGGATTTACCCGTTGCTTCTGTAGGCAAAAAGTAACCGATCTAATCGCCTTTGTACGGATCCCGACAACTGCCTTAGCAGGCCTGCTTTTACCGCCTGTACCGCCCTTCCGGCTAATCCATTTGACGCAGAATGACATGGGGCTGTACGCACGTGTTGAATGTCATTGCTATGCATAAAGGTCTCAAACTATTTACTGGTAAAACAGGAACCATTATCTGTACAAACAGTTGCAGGTATTCCGAAAACCGCAAACGATGATCGTATCTTTGGAATGATTATTTCAACCGTTGGATGAGACAGTGGATAAACAACGATCAATTTCGAATAGGCATCAGCTATCAACAGGAAAGATGTTGCTTACAAAGAAATAAAATAGCCCCAAAACAAGTAACCACCATGTATATTCAACTCATTTTTCCGAAGCCCAAAAGGTTTCTACTCAGCAGAAATTCTACTAGGCCAGCCCAGTTTCGTGAACCGTATCACGGAGACTAGTTTGGGATCCCGTTCGGTCCATCAACTTATTACGTCAGTTGTCAAAGCAGTAGTGTCAAGGTACTGCATCAAATGAACTAACCACCGGTTCATCTATTAGCCCTACGGAGGTCGTGTGTGCTAACCAACTCTGGGCATCCGCCGTACCATTGTTACATCCTGGGATGTAAGAGATTTTGTATGAGTACACACTAAGGATTAGGACTCCTCGTCGCATTCTTGGTAGAAACACTTGGTGGCTACCCTTGGATTAACCCAATAAGGATAGCAACGGTTTGTGAACAGTTTGGACCTCAAAATGACTACCCCAAATATACTGATGAAATTTCTTGACACCAAAAAAAACTGGTAGGTCCTCTCCATCAAGTTGTGCTTAATTTTTTAGCCGGTTTTAAGGCACGTGAAGCAAAAACAATCAGAGGAATTACACCATTTGGCGTTGAATATCTCTACATAGAAAATTTGACTTTGTCAGTTTTCTTGTACTCTGAAAGTTCTTGGAAGTGCCAACATACTCGGAATCTATTGCGTACCTTCTTTTGTCGCGACTTGACTGTCGTGCTTCTCCGCTTGAGTTTTCCTTCTCGGAAGCCTTTTGTGGAAACAGTGTTGAATAACTCTGAGCATAAACTGCCAGTGTACCAGCGTTTGAGGATCTTACATTGTTTGCCTACTGTTCGTGGTTTTCTCCTCGAAATATTGGCCTCTGTTTGAAGACTTCAACGCAAAAGATTCCGGCCTTTATCGATATCTCATCGATCGAGTACAAATCGGGTTGATATTCGACCGCGCGAAGCTGATCAATCCCTTGCTCCTGCAGTCTCTCCCAGCTCCATCGGAGAACAGCTTTTGAAGGGTATTCTACAGAAAAGCCTGTTCTGGTCTTCGTTGCTAATTTTCTTGTTCTGGTGAGTCCAAATCTGGGCACACGAATCACTCCGGGTTCTATCTGATTGCTGCTTACGTTGTCTGCATTGTAGCCTACCGTACCCCGGTTCACGTTCCTATTATCTGTTAAAGTTTTTCATCTTTCGTTATGGTAAAGATAACCAGTTCCAAGTCTCCCTCGGACCCATTAACCGATTCGTCAGCTGTTTGTGGTAAAGCGAGTTGCTCAAAACCAGTTACTGGTTCTTCTGGGGGCATGCAATGTGACCTCTGCAGTTCTTGGTTCCATGAGGCTTGCACTGGGTTGGATAGACAGCAGTATACCCTCCTACAAAACAGCGATAATTTGCCTTATAATTGCCCTGGTTGTGTGGGGCACAAAGCATATCGTCTAGTCCCAAATGACGAATTTGAAACTCTGGTAAATAGAGTTGGTACCCTTCTATCTTTGTTTAGTTCTTTAGAGGGGAAGGTTGATCAAATCGTCGTAAGCCTTGAACGTGCAGGCCTCAGAACAAGCGTGCGTTCAGACGATTGCATAAATAGTACGGTTTCGAAGGATCCACCAACTCTTGAGGCGGTGCCTGAAGATGATAAACATACTGACGTTATATTGAACTCAGTTGTTAGTGGGGAAGTTGTACAAACCAGTGTATCTGCGAAGGCAAAGCGGCGCAAGATAAAGAAATCTATCAGTACAACGAAACCCAAGCTAAGAGAGGTAACGGTGGGCTCTGTCGATACTCCGTCCCCGGAAACGAAGGCCGAAAACCCTTCCACCTCATTGCCGAAATCCTTCTCCTGTGCACCTGCTGTTCCTACTAAGGAGGATATGAACTCAAGCACTGCGCCGGCCACTGCTACTGTGACGCGTGCCGTAAACACCCCTCGTCGTAGTGACGCATTTACGGACAGCAGCGTTATCTTCAGGAATATCTCGGAGTCCTCTGCGACTCTTCCGAAAGATCGCATGCTTGACGACCTTCATTGGTTCAAACTTTGCGTTTCTAAACTACTTCCACCCGGGTTTCCTGGGGTTACTGTTAGAAAACTTACTAGGCTTGGAAACATATCGGGTGATTGTACTAAATGTAGTCCCCGTCTATTACGCGTGGTACTATCTACACCGGAGGAGCGCCATGCTCTTTGGCGCTTCGCCTTTAAACTAAAAGGTTCCGGAGTGAGTATACAACCGGTCCTACCTTGGCGAGATAAGACAAAGCTTAAAGAAGCCATTAAAAACCTTAAAGCGCGTCGCGAAGCTGGCGAGAAAGTTTTACGTTTGGTGGTTTTTCATGTGGTGAGCCGACGGTCCACTTCCGCCCTACCAGAGCCCATTCTGGTAGCACACGACCCGGGGCTCTCCATACCAAACGTTTTCACATAGTTCTTAGTAATGTGCGTAGCCTGCGAAACAAGATGTGTGAAGTGGGGCCCTAAGAGACCACTCCCATCCTGATATACTCGCGTTCACTGAAACCTGGTTGTCTTCTGACGTCATGGACAGTGAATTATACGTTCCGGGCTACGCAATACTGAGATCTGACCGCCCATCTGATCGCCGTGGCGGTGGTGTCGCCTTGTATATCAGATGTGGTGTAAACATATCAAAAACACATACCTTTAACTCAGCTGATAAAACTGTTGAAGCTCTTTCAATTGAAGTCTTTACTGCGACAACACAATTTATAGTTGTGTTGCTGTATAGGAGCCCAGCTAGCGCTGCTGCGAGTTTCATTGACTTCATCCGCACTCACTTTGCAAACAGATGCTTGACAATAGGGGACTTCAACTTCCCTGAAGTAAATTGGCATGACCTATCTTGTGAGGCAGCGACAACAGGGGTAGCTGCCGAGCTTGTTGACTTGACACGAAAAGTACCCTTACACCAATTTGTCGATCGAACCACCAGGTACATGGTGGGTCAAGCTCCTTCTCTGTTGGACCTAGTTTTCGCAAAGTCGGTTGACTTTGTGAGTGACCTTGAGTACGGACCCCCTTTGGGAGCCAGTGACCATACGGGGTTGTCATTCAATTGTGCACTCATTAGAGACTACGATTCACGCAGGGTCTCGACTCCGAACATTTGGCACGCCGATTTTCCGTCTATTAGAGCCAAGGCAGTAAGATTTCCATGCATCATCTTGCCGGATGATGATATACAGACGGCTTGGGATACGATTAAGTCTTTCCTCTTTAACATATCCACCCCGCACATCCCTCTTTCGCTAAAGAAGGGTGCCAAAGCGAAGCCACCATGGTTAGACTCAGTCGCACACCAGCTAATGAATAGACGGGGCAGATGCTGGCGGATCTACCGAACAGTTCTCTCAGAATGTACCTTTCGGCGTTATCGGGAAGATCTGAATGCTTGCAAGAGTCATTTACGAGCTGCTAGACTTAGCTATGAGATGGAGCTGGCTAACTCAGCCTCCGCGAATCCCAAAAGATTCTTCGCCTACGTCAAAAGGCGTAGCAATGTTGGCTCATCTATCCCAGTGTTATTAGGCAGCGACGGCGCCACTGCCACCACTGATCACGAAAAAGCATGTCTACTGAGTGCGCAGTATGCCGGAACTTTTGTTCAGGATGAGCAATTGCCGCATCTTGACCTAGCAATGAGAGTCCCCCAGGACTCCTGTTTAACACACGTCACAATTTCGGAGGCAAAAGTTCTCCATCTTCTTCAGGCTCTAAATCCTGCTAAATCCGCTGGGATGGATGATATTCACCCTAAGCTTCTGTACGAACTAGCAAGCGAGCTATGTGGCCCAGTGACTCGTTTGTTTCAATTGTCGCTTCGCAGCTGCTCCTTTCCTAAGGACTGGAAGGATGCTATCGTTTGCCCGATTTTTAAAAAGGGCGACAAGCATCTTCCTGCCAATTATAGACCAGTAAGTTTGACAAGCGTACTGGTCAAGGTATTGGAGAAGCTGGTCAGTGAGGTGCTTGAAGACCACCTGCGGGAGTATGGTCTGCTCAGTCCACTGCAACACGGCTTTCGCAAGGGTCATTCCTGTATGACTAATTTGCTAGTTGCACGCGAATGTTGGGCGGATGCTTTGGATCGGGGTCATGCAGTAGATGTCGTGTTTATTGACTTCTCCAAGGCGTTCGACACTGTATCACATTCTCGCCTTTCCTTGAAACTTCGGTCCTATGGAATATCCGGGGGTATACTAAAATGGATCACCACGTTTCTGGAAGGGAGAGAGATGTGTGTTCGTGTCGGGTCTAGTCTGTCCTTCCGACAGTCAGTCCTCAGTGGGGTCCCTCAGGGTTCGGTGCTTGGTCCGTTGTTATTTTCCTTGTATGTCAACGAGCTGCCCGAACTGCTGGACGTACCATCTCTCATGTTTGCAGATGACCTAAAGTTTTGGCACATAGTGTCTGACTTCGATGGACCCCAGATTCTGCAACGGGCCCTCGATCAACTTTGGGATTGGGCTGCTCTGTGGCAGTTGCCCATAAACTATGCAAAGTGTTCCATCTTACGAGTAGGGCCAAATAGCCCCCAAACGCGTTATTTTCTTGGCGGTAATGAACTCCACCATGTTACCCAATTGGTAGACCTAGGGGTCACATTGTCTTCAGAACTTAAATCCAGTGAGAACTGGAGGAAAGCTACGTGCAAGGGTTTCAGAATGTTGTGGATGATCCGCAGGGCATTCGGGACCATCACGGGCGCTATGTTTGTTAGGTTATTCTCAGCGTTTGTCAGGCCACACTTGGAATACTGCATCCAGGCTTGTCCACCTTGCTTAGTCAGGGACAGGATGTCAGTGGAGAGAGTGTTGAGAGTTGGAACCAAACTGGTCCATGGACTGCGGAACCATTCTTACCCAGAAAGACTACTTGCGCTGGGGATGTTCTCGATGCACTATCGTCAACATCGAGGCGACCTAGTCTTGACCTATCGTATACTTACCGGTAAAACCGGACCCGATTTATCCGGGCTTTTCCAACCGGCTCGGCTTCCATCGCTCCGCGGTCACTCGCTGAAGCTACACAAACCTCGATCGGATGGAGTCCGGGCGGACTTTCGTTTATCACGCCGAGTGGTGGATTCCTGGAATGCACTGCCCGAAAACGTGGTATTGGCACCAACAGTGAAAGAGTTCGAACACCGACTCGACGCTCTTGGCCTTCAATTCTTAACATTCCCCTTCACTTCCTAGTTTATTCGTTTTATTGAAATATTAAATCTTTTTTTTCTTGACGCTCTTATTACTTTCGTACTTCTTTTTCTTATTTCACGTGACCGGTGCGGCGGGGACTGCCAGTGCAGGTCGCGTGGGTATTAATTGGTTGACCGTGGTGTGATTCGCGCGCGCTGATCTGA